TATAACTTATGTGCTATATATAGGATGACGTCATAGAAACAACTTTTATCACGTGTCTATCAAAGTTGTAATAAAGGCGCTTGCACACCTCACATTTTCCCGGCATACTGAAAACGAGCTACTATAAGTGTATTTTGATGTCTATATAAAACCGATATGTATATATTGGACAAGTGTGATTTTGTAGCCGTGAATTCAAAATAAAATTTTATTTTTTTCTGATTAATGTTATACAGTAAGTATATTTTTTTAAAATGCAGTTAAAGTTCTGTTTACATTTACCCCGAGTTTTCAAATTCTCTGCGGGTAAATGTAAACATTCGTGTTAGACGAATTTTTAATAAAATATATTTAGAAAAATTTTCTGAAATTTATTAAATACGAATAATGATCTGGAGTACTTATCATTTTGACAACATGTCAACAATATAATATGTTAAAATTTTAAATCTTAAAATGAATCTAAAAAATCAACTGTTTACACTAATTAACTTCTGTTTAGTATTAGTGTAATATTGGATTAATTATTATAATTTTTGCAATTTCATTTTCTATCTTTCCTACAACGTATTAGTTACTTTCACTATATTTAATGGCTTGCGCTTTGATCAGTTAATTAATGACGACAACATCAGTCTATAATTCTATACTATTGAGGTGAGTTGCTTTTTTGTTAGAAAGTATAAATTTCAAAATAAGACCAAGAAAAGAGGCTTCTGTTTGTTTATGGTCTTTTGTTGAGTATAAGTATGTAATTGCTTCTTTTAACTCGCAGACCTGTAATTTAAGTGGCATTGGATGACTGCTCAATTATACCTATATCAACGGTCGGCTCTGATCAACAGCCCATGTTTAGGCCTCCAGTATATACATTATATATAGGTTTTAACAAATATAACAAGGAAACAGTTTACAGTCTTTCAATTTACATTTCAGAACTGTAAATATGTCGTGTCACTTCCTCTTCAAAGTCTTTTTACCGTTTTGCTTGTTTAGACTAATTCTGCAGGTAAAAGACCGTAGCATATGATAATAATCGTCTCCATCCTATTTATGCACTCTATATGTGTATAGGTATATCTATCGGCTAACAATATAAAAGCAAAGTGGTTACATAAATTTTTCTTATATGTTAATAATCATGTTTAAAGTAAAAATAATAATTATTGTCTAAATTGAAATATATATTTTATAAAAATTGTATAAACTCTGCCAATTTCTGATCCAATTTTTGTTCGCATTGTAGCAATTACTTATTATTTAAAATTGTACTTAAAATAGTTTACATGAAATATTATACAAGTTTTCTAAAAGCTCTCTCAGAACAAAACTTATTAACTCGGTGATTACGAATCTGACGTAAGATTTTAAAATTTCAAAATGGCGTCCTATCAAATATCAGTATAGAATTTTTTTAGAATGGATCAGATTCGCCTAAAGTTTGTTGCTTGGGAGTTTTGTGAGGTTTCTACAAAACTTATTAATGTCTATAAAATTCAAAAAATAAAAGAAAATTTACCTGTTATTATAGCCTACAAAAATAAAACTTTCTGTAGTTTCCAGGATCTATCACGAGGAGGTTATAGGTAAAGACCCCATTTTTTATTTTTTTAGATTTAACAATTTTTTTTCCTTTTTTCGGTTTTTTTATTTTTTAAATTTAAAAAAAAAATTTTCTTTGATTCTTTAAACATTCTTTCTAATTCAAATTTAGAGTGGAAGGAGGAAATCTTAAGGAGGAAATTTTAAATTTACTTTGAACTCACTATATATTACACTACAACTAAACTACACTATTCAAAAAATCTAAAGAACGCTCTCATACCAGTCAAGTATAACAGTGAGCAGCCCGCAGAATCTCTTACTGCTACTTGACTAGTTTTAAAGCACACGTTCGAGTATCGAATGAATTGAATTAGGACGCTCAAATTTTACGAGTCCTTTCTTTACCATAATTTTCAAATTATATTAGGGTTGTACAACATCCCAAGCAGCACGTAATGTTACTTCGATATCACTTGAAATATTACATTGGATTTTCGTTATATTACAGTGTTCTTACTATATGATATCAAAATAATGAATGAATAAGGTAACAAATTCTTGTCATTTATCAAGTAAATTGTTTATGTATAAAACTAGACCATTTTGGTTATAGAGTTCACACATGCATAATGTTATTGAAATTGATAAAAATTGTTCAATTATTTTCTTTATTTAATTAAAGTAAAATATTATTAATGTAATAATAAAAATAAAAGTTCCTTTTTAATAGAATTGCAAATATAATTAATAAAAATGTTAAACAATTATTTCATATCGTATTTTCAAAATATTCAAATAAGTTAATAACAATTAAATTATATAAATCTACAACTTGCAGATAGTCAGTAAATAAATTCTATTAAATAAATTTTCTATGAGTGTATTGTTTATTCTTTCTAGAGGAGAGAAAAACTTTAATTAAGAAATGGAGAATAAAGGACAATGATAGACGCTGTGCTCTATGGGACTTTATCTTTTCATTACAGCTAAACCCCATGTAGGTTCCCATATGGAAACATAAAATACTCTTAATATTGAACTATATGTAATACAAACTGACAAAATTTTGACCAACATTTCAGAATCAAGAACCGGACAATACTTTTCCAATGGTTTTTGATGTGCTAAATCCGATTGCTAATCTATCCTTTAACTCTTTCGTGCCTTTAGTACATATATTTTTACAACAAATTTTGAAGATGATTTTTTCAATTATTTTTTTTTAAATATAAACAGTTTCGTATTTCTGATCGAATTGGGTTCAAAAATATGTAAATCAAAGCGATTTTTAAAGTTTTACAAGAGTTGGTTATGCGACTTTTAAAGTTACTCCAACATTTCTAACCAAAATTTAAAAAAAAGACTTATTTTCCAAAATTTAAAATTTTTGAAAGTTTAATATCTTTGGCTAATATCGACAAAAAATGTTCAATAAAGGCTCAAAAGATGAGTCTAAAAAACTCTACAAAACTGGAGAAAACATTTATAGGTGTCTTAACTTTTTTTTAAATTATGGTCAAAAAAACTATTTTTCGGCAAAATTAAAAATCCAAAAATCATAGTTAAACTTTATTAATCTATCTCAAAGCATTCTACTTCTATGTCCACATGTGAGACCTACAATTTAAGAAAAATTCATTGTTAAAGTTCTTTATTATCTCGACATATTTCTGACAATGTGATGTTTATACACACGCACCTACGGAATTACATTTTTTTTTTAAATATCATTTATGAATTCTTGAGGTCATATAACATTATAATAAAGATATATGTCAAAAAATCATATTTGAAAAATTTTGGTATTACAATACGTCTTCATGAGAAAGGTGATTAAGAATTTAAAGTTAGATTTTCAAAATTTTCAAAATTAAAAATAGTGTAAAATTTTTTTACATCTACTCAAATTTTTGGGGTCATCATTTTGAATTTTTTAAATCTGATTTTTAATCGCAAATTTTCGTAATTTGCAACCCCAGAAACCCCCGAGTAACAATAGTTTTATGTAAATTTGAGCATTTCTGAAAAAATGTCCGCCATATTGGATCCGACATTTTGAATTTTTAAAATTCTGGAAATCTGACTTCAGCTTCGTAATCAGCGATCCCAAAAACAAGAGAGTTCACAAAAATTGTAAACTGAGTTCTTCAAAAATACTTTACTCCTTTCTTAAACTTCACTCATTGGTCAAAAAACTACCCTGACCACTAGCACCAAAAATTTAAAATTCTTAAAATTCAACATTTTTCTTTTACTTGAGGGCAAATTGCTTGAATATTTTTGAACTCTTAAAAAACACTTTACTCGTTTTTTAAACTTTACCCTTTGGTCTACTAACTACTTTGACCACTAGCACCAAAAATCGAAAATTCTTAAAATTTAATTTTTTTTCTTTTTATTTAAGGCAAATTGATTTATTATTTTTGGGCTCTTAAAAAATACTTCACTCGTCTTTTAAATTCCATCCTTTGGTTAAAAAACTACTTTGACAACTAGCACCAAAAATCGAAAATTCCTAAAATTCAATATTTTTCTCTTTATTTAAGGCAAATTGCTTTATTATTTTTGGGCTCTTTAAAAATACTTTACTCGTTTTTTAAACTTTACCCTTTGGTCTTAAAACTACTTTGACCTCTACATTTTGAACAAATTCACCGAAATTGAATAAAACTTTAAAATTATAAAATAAAAAAAATGTTGATTTTCCAAATAACGCAACTAATTTCACATTTATATTCAGAAAAATTCTTATAAAACATGTTTAAATAAATATAATCGAAATTCATTAGTGAAGATCGGTAAAAATATATTCTAATAAAAATATGTTCTATGTATGCTATATATGCTAAAGAAAAAATTGGGATAATGTTTCTAATACACTATACGTAATGTAAAAGGACTCCTATTAAAGTAACACCTTTTATGTTCTATGAAAGTATTGTAAATCCATTTTGTGTGGTGAGAATGTATTATAATTCACAGCATTGTATTCTTCAACAAACACTCTTTTACTTTCTCTCTTTCTTCATCAAAGCAACACCTGGTAGGTGTAACGTTGCCACCATTTTCTATTATAAGGATAATTTGATACATATCGCAGACTAACTATTGTGGTTTTATCCTGCTTTCAGTTCGTTGTTATAGCGACAAATAACTTGATGGAGTATTTATCTTGATATAATTTAGAAGTGATATTCATCTTAAATGCAAAATATTTTATTTTTCTCATGTAGCACGTAATATTACAGTAAAATTACTGTATTCTTCATTTAGTAATATTACAATAATAATAGAATATCTAAATTTGATTATTGGTAATTGTATACATAAATTTATTACTTTTTGAGGATAAATCTCGGAATAAATATCTATTTTCAATAATAAACTATATATTTTAATCCTTTACAAAGAAGTAACTTATGATATATTTTGTAACTTAATAATTAATAAAACAAACATGTTACTTTTATAATTATAGTTTTTACTAACTACCTAATTAATTTACGAAGAATCAATCCCTTTTTATAAATATAGTTACTTGTTGGAGTATCCATATAGTTGTTCATTTGGCCCAAATATGAAATGTATAAATACCAACAAATAAGCTGTAAAAGAGACTACATGTCTAAGTTAAACAGTAAGAACGTAAGGTTTAAGGTATTAATGTCTGCCTTTGTCAGCTCTGTGTAGACACGTCCATCAAAGCACAATAAATACTTGAACGGAAATGGGAAGAAAAAGACAAACGCAATCTCCTCGTTTTTATAAGCTAGCTTCTCTCTAGCTTCTCTTTTCTGCTCATGGATAAAAATATGTAACATGAATATATTTAATTATAAAGAGAAAAGAAATATTAACCCATTAATGCCCAAAACAAGAAAATTCTTTGATCAATTTCAACCTATATGCTTTTATGCGAATAAAACGGATCATATTTTATACCAAAAGTATTAATTTTAAAAAACACAAGAATTTTTCATTTTTACAAGTTTGATGATTTTCTTTAATCTTAAAATGTGTGTGAATAAAATTCAATTCTCAGCCATAAATGCATAGAAATTGTATACTTTTAAGCAACGTAAACTAGAATTTAAAATTTCAAGAAATATTTTTTAAGAATAATAATGATAATTTGTTAACAATGTATTATTATAAAAATATTAAAAAGATCATGACGAAGAACAAACTGAGAGGACAAAGTAAATTGTCAAAGTGGTTAATGAAAATTGTAAGTGGAAATAAGTGTATTTGAATTTGAATGTATGTATGGCTTTGCCATGCGAGGAGTTGGAGGTAGTTTTCTCGGTAGCAGGCAAGCCCATTGACTTTGTTCATTGATTTCACGTCAATCTGCAGCACCCTTGTGGGGTGTCCATGATGCGTTTACCATAAACGATAAGGGAAGGGCAGTTGAACACCCCATAAAAGGGAAATAGAATAGAAATGACCCCCTATGGGAGTCGCATTAGCGACACATGGACAACTGACAATGCCTGCGATCCCCTATGGTCTATACACCTATGTTACCCTCAAGATCTCAGCTATGTATACTGTTACATTACGTATCCTTACATGGCAGCCTATAGCCCAGAGGTTGGAACATGGAACGAGGGTTGGAATACTCATATATTTGCACCACCCTTCAAGGGTGAAACGCCATTTTGTTCAATGAGCCCCGTTTCACATGCACCCTATAGATTATAGAGTTTTTGACTTTTTCATATAAGAATGGCGTCGTGCCAAAGAAAACATTTCGAAACATTAAAAAAAAATGTTGATCAATTAAACATAATTTGCTTCTTTAATTTTTTATTTTCTACTTATTTTTGAAACCAAATTTTTATTTAACCCATTAATGGCCATAAACCATAAATTCCAAGCAAATCCGTTAAATTTTTTAAGAAATCGGCCGCCATATTGGATTCTCCATTTTGAATTTTGAAAAATTGAAACAGAATTCGTAATCAGCATTCTCAAAAACCTCCGAGTGACAAGCTTCAAGCAAATCCTTCACGTTTTAAAAACGTTGGCAGCCATATTGGATCCGCTATTTCGAATTTTAAGAACTTAACACCAGAAATTAATAAGTTTCAAATGAATTGATCTCGGAATTCATTAAGTTTTTTTAAAATTTTCCACCATATTTGAGCTGACATTTTGAATTTTGAAAAACCAATACCAGATTCGTAATGAGCCACCTAGAAAACTCACCGACTACTAAGTTTTAAGCGAATTTTCATTTATTGACAATGCGGCAGCCATGTAAAATCGGCCATATTGAATTTTGCAATTTAGACTGAAAGAAATAGGTGAGAGTGGGCTACATTGAACCAGTGTCTACAGTGAACCACTTTAATTTTCTGAGAAATGACTGAGTGAAATTTTTTTCTTATTCAATGTGTCATAATTTGTGAAGTGAGCCATCATTTTTGAATAGGTGAGAATTTTCTATGATTTTAACTTTTTTCTACTCTATACGATAAAACAAAAATACAAGTTGAACAGTTTTGCGAAATTTTAATTTTTACAATAGAGGAAGAGGTTCGGTTATGGACACCCCCGCAGAACTTTTGACAGAAATGAGATTTCTCAAATCTGACAAATATCATGTGTGTGTTATGACCGAACATAGTTTTTTATGCGAATACAAAAGTCGTTATTGGCCACCTGTGCTTTATACTATATAAATTAATTTTTCGACACGTTGAAGATAACAAAAATCTATTTTTAAATATTATTAAATGTTCAACAAATCGAAGTGAATTAATTAAAATGATAAGTTCAATGCGTATTTACACAGTAAATATGTTACATTTTGTGATCCAATACCAAGTATCACAACAATGTTCACAAGCAAAATTTTTTTCATGACGTTTTAAAATGATGGTAAAGTTTAGTTGTGAGCACTCAAATTAATTCGGTTGTGGACACCACTATTATTCTTGACAAATCGTGAAATATCGTCGTCGATATGATCGTAAGTAATTTCTTATAAAATTTAATAGTGTTTTATGAATTTTAAGAGTTTCGTGGTCCAGCACGGAAATTAATATAACAAGACTTTGATTTTTATGCGTCGTTCGTAGCTAGTAACTGTGCTGCTGAGGTTCAGTGTGAGAAATCTTATATATCTTTACATGGGGAGGAGAGGAGGTCAAAATTAGAAAAAATCATCCTTACGTAGTTAATAGATAGTAGTTTTAGAATATAATAATTTTCTAGTGTACTATTGTTCTAATAAAAATATCTGTTATTGTAATAATTATTAAAGTAATCAGCATAACCACCACTGTCCATTACAATGTATACAGCTGGACAATCGGTTGCAAGGATGCATTGATTGGTAACTCTATACCTGATGTAGGGTGTCTTGCAGACACATCCAGGATAAAGGCCAATCTAAAAAATACAAAAAGTGTAAATACAAAAAAAGTTGAAGAAAGTAATATTATTATTGTAGTAGTTATGATAGTAACAGTTATGATGTCAATGATAAGCGTTTATTACTTGAGACATAATGTATCCTTACATGTTCTGATTTCTGAACGTTCAAATGATCAAAATTTATTTATTTCTTCTTCAAATTCAAATTACCTACTCTTGTAATAATATTATACCACGTATTCAAATTAAATTGTAATGATTCTACATGTTTAATATTGTTTTTTCTTTTTATATCAGGCAGTAATTTTTTAAAACCTTTATAAAAAAATTCATTTATTTGAAAGTTCGGAACTTGTGGAACTTCCAACTTTTGCTTATGAAAATATTTTTATATTAAAGTCTATTAAAATTGTCATCGAGAAATATTTTTTCTTCTAAATCATAAATGTTGTTAAAATTAAGGCATTTTGGTAATTTTGCCATTCAAGCAACTTATTATGTCTCTAAATTTTCGAACGTTCAAGTAAAGAACAATTTTTTTGTTACTTTGATACCAAGTTGAAGTTCACAATGTTTAACATAAAAAAATTTGTTAAATTTAATCAAAAAGTAAAAATCGCTGCCAAGTTGTATATTTTTGTTATAATTTTGGAGCTCATTTCATGAACACTTTGCTTCCTCATAGAGATAATAATAATAATAATAGAAATATATGAAAAACTTTTTATAAATATGGTAAAAGTGATTGAATCTTGGGTCATTCAATGCATTTTTATATACCCTAGAAGATACATAGTTATCATAGTTTAATAGTTAAAGGAAAGTTTTCAAACAAAAAAGTTGAGAAAATGTCATTTTCCACAATTTTTGTTTTTTAAAATACCAATAATTTCGAAATCTATGATCAAATTAAGTTCAAAAATAGACCAATTGTAGCGTTTTTCAATTCTCTACAAGTTGATAATGATACTTTTAAAGTTATTTCTACATTTTTCAACAAAATTTTTAAAAAAGTCTTATTTTCCAAACTTTTAGATTTTTAAAAGTTTAAAATCTCCGGTTAATATGGACAAAAAATGTTCAATAAGGACTCAAAAGATGCGTCTGAAAAAACTCTACAAAATTAGAGAAAAACATTTATAGGTATCCTAACATTTTTCTTAAGTTATGGGCAAAAAACTATTTTTTGAAGAATTAAAAAACCAAAAAAAATATAGTTAAACTTTATGAATCGGGCTGAAAATACTCTTATATTGTGTCCGCACGTGAGACCTACAATTTAAACAAAATTCTTCTCTATATCTCTTCATGATCTCGAGATTATTTATGAAAATTTAATATTTACACACACACACGCGCACATACGGAATGACATTTTTAAAAAATGTGAGTTTTAACTCCTAAGGTCAAATAATATAAAGATATGTTAAAAAATCGAACTCGAAAAATTTTGATATTACAATACTTTCTCTATGAGGAAGCAATTAAACAATAAATTAATAATTCATCAAAAGTAAATGAAAATAAAATCATCTACGTGCTTTATTGCAAATTGTTGGCCCCTGTCGGTTCTCACAAGAAGGTCTGCAGTCTGGATGTGGTGCTCTTGCATCATACAATTGATTCGTTCCACAAAGTGAAGTTTGGCGCTTTCGTCTTGAAGCTTAAACGTGCAATATTTAATTTATTAAATTATGCATTAATAAATTGAAATTAATAAATTAATATCAATGTCTATTACATCACTTGTCTAAGTGATATAATTTTTTCACATACACGGAAAGACATTTTATTTAAAAATTTAATAAGCAGATTATTAAACTTGGTTTTTTTGATATTTCATATTTTTACTCATAATATAGTATGCTTACAAGAAATGTTTCCAAACGAATTTTGAAAAAAGTATGTTTATTCTAGACCCCAGTAGCACGTTGTATTACAGAAATATTGAGAACACTCCTTAACATTACAATATTGCCTCAATGTTGTCGATGTTACTGGAATATACTGCTGGAACGTTCCCAACATTACGTGCTACTAGGGGAGAGTTTTCAGATACTTAGCAGCAAAATTGTGACCCACTCATGACCACAATGGATTAGTATTTCGTAAAAATTTCGAATAGCTCTGAGTTTTATATATCTGTTTGTTACATTTTGTAATAAAATGTCTTTCTGTTCTACAAATTTGTTTCCAGTTGAAAAGAACTCTGCAGTGAAAACTTTCTGTAAAATAGTGACTTTATTGCCTAAATTACCGATATTTGTTCCAGGACATTCTAATCGAAGAATGCATTGATTAGTGATTGTATTTCTGACATACAATGGAAGACAAACACAACCAGGATATAAGGTCTGGAATAATAATAAAGTTATACATGTAATCTAACACAGTATTTTAAAAAAGATTGAAAACTTACTGAACTACATATTCTTAGACCTTGAGGATTTTCACAAGTTGGTCGGCATGAAGGTTGTGCTGCTCTTGCATCATATGTTTCATTTGTACCACAAATCTTTGACGATGCCGTAGTAGCTGTTAAACAAATAGATTTTAGACATATTGCACAACTAGCAAACAGACAGATCAGTAAATATTTTACTAGTTTTCATTATGACATACGACTGAATTTCAGTGAAAATTTTACTGAAGTGATTCAGGCACTATAATTCCAACTATTTCATCAGTGAAATTTCACTAATTAAAATTTAGATAGAAGGCAAGCACTAAATTTGCAAAAAGCTGCAAATATTTATAACAAATTTAAAAATATAGTTGGGTCGTCTAATTGTCAGATTGCTTAAATTTTTCACTACCTCAAATATTCAAAAAAAATTGGGATGCATAAAATTTCCGCAACTGATAAATAACCTAACTGTCATTTAACTGAAAAACGTATAACAGAATTAAAATTTAACAAATTATTCACGTAACAGGCTCACGCAGCATCTGTTCCAACAAGAAAAACAGTAATGCAAATTTTACAATATTGAGGAAATGTTGTTTGCAAGTTTAGTTGCTTCTTCAGAGCATCATCATGTGATACCACACTGATGTATTTTGAAAATAAAGAGATCATGCAAGTAAGAAAAGGTTCTCGAACAACTGCTTCACTCTTCTTTGAGTCCCAGGTTACAATGTATTCAGGGGTAGTGAGATAGTGGATGATCTAGTTAAGAAAAAAGTGAGGAACAATTTATTCTGCTTGAGCCTCCGATTGGTGTTTCTGATAAATGTTTAGAGGCAAAAATAATAACAGGGCTGTCAACTGGTCATGGAGATTTGCGTTATCATAGGTATAAAATGGGGATTATAGAAGATCCTAAATAGTAGGAGGCTTTTCATAGAATGAAATCCATCATTTAGGCGACCCAAAGGTACTATATAATTACTTCTTGATGGGCAGTTCTCGCGAATGATGCATACATTGTTTGCGTTTCTGACAGGTTGTGCTGGTCTGCATACACAACCTGGATAAAATCCCTAAAAAGGAAAAAGAAAATATAGTACTTAATTTTTCCCGAAAGACGCAGTGTTTTAATTATTAATTTTTCATAATACTTTAGGACAATCAGGTTGACCGTAAGGATAAGCACAGGAGGTTTGACATTTTATGTGCAAGGCATTGGCGTTATATATTTGTCTCTCTGAGCACACTTTTGATGGAGCTGTTGCAAGTGTCATCGCTTGAGTCGATAATGTAGATGACGAGATAGTTGTTGAATATGTCGTGGAAATAGTTGTAGAGGTTGTCGACTCAGTAGAAGATTCAGAAGTTGAAAGTGATGATGACTGCGTTGTTGATTGTGTAGAAGGTTCAGAACTAGAAACTGAGGAAGATTGAGTTGTTGATTGTGTAGAAGGTTCTGAACTAGAAACTGATGATGATTGAGTTGTTGAATCAGTAGAAGATACAGAAGTTTCTACTGATGATGATGATTGTGTTGTTGATTCAGTAGAAGATGAAGAAGTTACTGCTAACGTTGATTGAGTCGTTGACTCTGTCGAGGGATCAGAAGTTGAATCCGTAGAAGATTGGGTTGTTAATTCTGTAGAGGGTTCAGAAACTAAAACTGATGAGGATAAAGTTGTCGATTCAGTTGATGGCGTAGTATTTGACTCGATAGAGGATTGAGTTGTTGACTCTGTAGAAGATATGGATGTTAAAACTGATGATGACTGAGTTGTTAAGTCAGTTAATGGTATAGATGTTGTACTGAATGCAGATGTTTGATCTGTTGTTGATGCTGTCGTTAATACTGTGGTTGATGCACTTGTAGGTTGAGTTGATATTGTAGTTCCTATAAAAATTATGTTTTCTACAAATATTGTTATAAACAAATATTTACTATAAAAAAATCATAATTAATGTTCTAAATTTTGAATTTTGCTCATTAATAAAATTTTGAGCACTGGAAATTAAATACAATAAAATTGTAATGTACCGTAAATAATTACAAAACATTTACTATCTTTAGACATAAATGAATTAATAAATTAGAGTTATTAGGTACCAAAGTAACCTGTAAGTTATCAACAAGCTTGCGGCAAGTTTTCAAAACTTGCAGTACAAGCTTGATGCTGATAGAAAAATGTCTTCATAACTTTATAGAATGCAAGCTACCATTGTTAACTTACGAAATAGGCAAGCTCACTTACTGTAGAATTATGAGAACATTTTTCTACTTGCTGCAAGCTTTTACTGAAAATTTCCTGCAAGTTAGGAAATGTGCATGCAAAATATCTCACGTAATGACTGTGTTGTAGAGGATTGACTTGTTGACAATGTAGATGGTGCAGAAGTGGAAACTGATGAAGATTGAGTTGTTACTTCAGTAGAGGGTACTGAAGTTGGTGCTGATGGTGATTGAGTTGTTGAAGCAGTTAAAGGTACAGTAATAATTACGGTAGAGGACTGAGTTGTTATTTCAGTAGAGGGTATTGATGTTAACTGCGTAGATGATATTGTTGTAGTTTGGATAGAAGGTATAGAAGTTGAAATAGATGATGAATGGCTTGTTGACTCAGTAGAAGTTCCGGTAATTGACTGCGTAGAGGCCAGAGTTGTTGACTCAGTAGTTCCAGTAGTAGATTCTGTTGATGATTGTGTTGTCGACTGAATAGAAGTTCCGGTAGTAGATTCTGATGATGATTGTGTTGTCGACTGAGTAGAAGTTCCGGTAGTAGACTCCGGTGATGATTGTGTTGTCGACTGAGTAGAAGTTCCGGTAGTAGACTCTGTTGATGGTTGTGTTGTCGACTGAGTAGAAGTTCCGGTAGTAGACTCTGTTGATGGTTGTGTTGTCGACTGAGTAGAAGTTTCGGTAGTAGACTCTGTTGATGGTTGTGTTGTCGACTGAGTAGAAATTGGAGTAGTAGACTCCGGTGATAATTGCGTTGTCGACTGAGTAGAAGTTCCTGTAGTAGTCTCTGGTGATGATTGTGTTGTCGACTGAGTAGAAGTTCCGGTAGTAGACTCTGTTGATGGTTGTGTTGTGGACTGAGTAGAAATTGGAGTAGTAGACTCCGGTGATAATTGCGTTGTCGACTGAGTAGAAGTTCCTGTAGTAGTCTCTGGTGATGATTGTGTTGTCGACTGAGTAGAAGTTCCGGTAGTAGACTCTGTTGATGGTTGTGTTGTCGACTGAGTAGAAACTGGTGTAGTTGACTCTGTTGATGATTGTGTTGTCGACTGAATAGAAGTTCCGGTAGTAGATTCTGATGATGATTGTGTTGTCGACTGAGTAGAAGTTCCGGTAGTAGACTCTGTTGATAGTTGTGTTGTCGACTCAGTAGAAATTAGAGTAGCAGACTCTGTTGATGGTTGTGTTGTCGACTCTGTAGAAATTGGAGTAGTAGACTCTGTGGATGTTTGTGTTGTTGACTCTGTAGAAATTGGAGTAGTAGACTCTGTGGATGTTTGTGTTGTTGACTTGGTAGATAGTTCAGATGTTGCTGCTGATGACGATTGAGTTGTCGACTCAGTAGTTGTTAGTGTAGAGCTTGTAGTTGTTGACTCAGTCGATTCAGAAATGTTGTGTATTGTCTCAAACAATTCTAATTCACATAGAAAGTGGAGTCATAATGAATGCAAAATTGTTGCGTATTCTTTTAACACAGCTTTTGTTGTTAATATGACACTTACTTTTATTAGAATATTGATAATGAAACAAAAATTAAATAATTTTTGTTCATTATTTGGGTTAAAATATGTTTCTGATGTTATTACGAAACTTTTGTTTAATGCCAGCTTTGTGTCTACTTGCGCTATTAATTGTGGTACTGTTACTGATGTTTCTCATGCTGACTTTGTTACTGTTTCTGCTGTAGTTGATTCCATTGATGTTTGAAAGTAAGGCTGATTTTGAAATTTTTGCCGACACTAGTTTTGATGATGTTTCTGGTGTTCGTTCAATACTTAAATTTGAATGTTACCTTGTTGGTGTTTCTACTAGTCTCTTACAGTAATGGTAAATGAATTAAATTTGTATTAAAAGTACAAATCCATAGTTAATATTCTAAATACCATTGTAATTTCAAATACTGAAAATTTTATTGCAGAGATATAAACAAATATCTGATCTTACACATTGTATCAGTAAGAATTGCTTTTATTTTTTTAATACTTTTAAATGATTTGAAATAGAATTGCAACATAAAATTAATTTAAAAATTAGGTACCTATTGTAGGGCAGTTTGTTGGAAGAATGCATACGTTATTTTCTTCATTTCTGACAAATTTTGGTTTACAAGTGCAACCAGAAACAATTGGCTAAAAATATAAAATAAGATTTAAAATGTAAAGGATTTTCAATGTAAATAAATATTTATGCAAAAGAGAAAGTAAAAGAAATTGTTCAACATACTTGAGGACATGGTGAAATCCCATAAAGGTTCGAACATGTAGGTTGACATGCTGGATTTATTGCATTGGAGGAATATAATTCTTTTACTGTTGGACAAAGTGATCCTTTCGAAAAAAAAGTTTTTCGTTACAAATAATAACAAAGCTTTTTCAATAGAATAAATAAAATCATCACTGTTTTTAAATTAATTCACATGTACTTAAAGTAAATTCAACAAAAAATAAAAAAAAGAGTACACTTATGGGCATGTGGGAAAATGCCCTTCGAAGAAGTGATTTTCCGCTTCTCATCACACTCCTAAATAAGTTGAAATATCGAGTTCGAATTTGTCAAAATAATTTAGATGTGAGTGCACTGATTAAGAATCTCCTCCATATTTAAAAATTATTTTTGAAATAAGTATTGTAAAGTAGTTAAAAAAATTAGATTTTTGATGGAAGTGGGGATATTGTCCCCAAGCGAGCACAGACATTAAATCTATGTGTCAGAAGGTGGCGGCAATTCGAGCTAGTGGCCGCCGCTGAACTAACATCAAATTAGCCCACTTTCAATCTTTAATAAAATCATTTCCTCACAAAATTATTGTAAATATGGAGAAGAGCGCGCAATATGAAACCGAAATATTTTATCCTTACAAGATGAGAAGTAAAAGTAAAACCCCTTCTTCCAAATATTTAAACAATTTTTTCAATAATTATTTATCAAAAATTTTTGAAAATTTTGAGAAGAGCGCGTGTCTCTAAAAAAATCTAAAATGTTTCAAAAAATCACAACCCAAAATATTCTTTTCTTTTTGAATGAGAAGTCCAACCACGAAACCACTGTTTCTCCCACTTGCACTTAATTAATTTATTATAAAGTATTACCTTCTGGAGGACAATTGCCAGCAATAATACACTGTCCATTAGTAGTTCTCAAATACCCACTTTTGCAAACACAGTCAGAAGTAGATGACTAAAAATATATATTTCAGAGAAATTTCACTTATGAGAAAGATTAATTTTATTGTGTAAAATTTGTTAGACACTTTTTTATTAACTAAAGAAACTTTTCCTTACTTCCTGACAAGGTGATATTCCGTTTTTATTTGTACACGAAGGTTGACAATTTACATTCACTGAGTTTGGGAGAGAAACTTCTCCAGTTTTACAAGTTTCTTGATACGATGTTTCTTACAAAGAAAATAAAAAGCAGAATTAAAGATTTCTTTTTACATTTTTTTCACTAATATATAAAATAGAAATAATAATTAAAAAATTATTTACCAATTAATAAGACGAAAAATGAGAAGAATAGAATCCAAATTTTATAAAACATTTTATTTCCAAAGAGTATTTGAGAATAGTGAAAAAATATTGACAAAAAATGACATTTTGTTCTTCTGATATTACTATTCATAAATCAATGTTGATAAAATAGAAGAAAGAAATTCTTATCTTACATTGCTTTTTTCAAAAACAATTGTTTAATCTCACGTACCTGATAAAAGTTTTAAATTTACCATTTAATGTTAAACAACAATAGTAATAATAAAATAAAGTAAATGTATGAATAATAAAATGTTTTTTTTAATATAATATTAGTAAAAAAGATAAATTTATTTTCTTATATTAAAAAACAAAAAAGTTCGCTTCGATGACTATTAATTGTACTCTTCTCTATCATTCTTTCAAATGTGAACCCGAAATATTTTGTATTTTGAAAATGACAAGTAATTTCCAAAACCACTCTTTTGTCATGTTTAAACAATTTTTTCAGTAATTATTTGTGAAGATTATGTAAAATACCGAGAATATCCCAAGTCAGTGTATCTTTCTCTATTACTTTCGAAAAATTCCAATCCAAAATATTCTTTTTTTCTAAAATGAGAAGTATTTTGTTAAACCATTTTTTCTTCCATATATATGACATTAAAAAATGTTTAAATTTAAAAAGCTAAAGTTAGAATTATTTATTGTCATGTGCAACAATTTAAATGTTGAAGGAAGGTTTTTTATATAACAAAGAATGTTGTATTACTTTTTACTGAATTTCCAATAAAAATTACAATATTTATAAAATCCCAATAATGCACTCATGATAGCTTTTGTAATTGTATAAATAAGCAATGTTATTTTAAACAATCAACAGTCAAGCATGGAGATACAATTGTTGCTAGTGCTGTTAGTAAGAACGTAATTTTTTTGACAAACACATCCTGGGTAAAGATCCTAAAAAATATTTTAAAATATAAACATAATATTTCCTTCATGTTACAGTAAAGTCTTGTAACTATTAAATTTTCGTAAATGCTCAATCAAATTTAAAAAATGTGTATTTAACATCAAAAAGTACTTAAAAGAACTAAGAATGTAGTTGGTGCAAACAGATTTTGCAGTTGTTTTTATAATTTAACTAATTTTTTAATTAATTGAATTCCAAATTTTTAACTTAATAAGAAATAATTAAATTATTGTTAAAAAAAAAAAAAAAAAAAAAAATTATTGTTACTGAAAAGTAATTACTTTAACTGCTTTTCACTTTACTACCCAACAATAGTTAAATTTTTCAAATAAATTATTTTCGTTGTAAAAATTTAATTAGCAATTAGGTGTATTAAACCATTTCAACTTAATAATTCGTGAATATTTTTCAATTCTAGATTTTTACTAAAATAAAAAATGAATTTCAGAAGATAAAATTTTTGTTAAAGAACAACAATTCCAATACAATTATTTTAACCATTTAGACACACTTTTGATCAAGAAGTTACAATTAAAAAGTAAAAAAAAATTAAGATTCAAAACTTGTAATCAGTTTTAAAGAACATTATCCAATAAAATAATATAAATTTAAAAAATACCATTCTACAATATACAGTTCCTGAAAGATTTTGGCAGGTTGGTCTACACTCAAGAGATGCTGCTCTGGCATCGTATGTTTGATTGGCTGTACATGTAGTTGAAGCGGCAGTTGTAGTTGCTGTTAAATAAATTGAAATTTACCTCTCTTATCAAAAATGAAATAAAAAACTAAACGAAAATTATAAGAAATTTGATAATTACTTGCAGGACAGTTTGTAATAAGAATGCATGCATAATTTGCGTTCCTGGTATATCCTGAGATACAAACACAACCAGGATAGTAGCCCTACAAAAAAGTATATTTGAGGAACTAAAATAAAAAATGTAGGTATTATAAATCACAGCCATATTGAATCCGACATTTTGAGTTTTGAAAATCCGGCTCAAATTTTGTATGAATGACAATAAAATTAAAAATTAATAAAAGTTTAAAAATACGTCGTATTCGTAACTATAGCGATTACAAAAACCCCAGAGTCATAAATTCAAGCAGATTTGATTGATTTTCCATTTCATCGTCCGACATATTGCACCAAGCCGAGGTGTCTTATTGTTTATACATCCAAAACACGATAACATAAAAAAATTTTTAAAATGTTTTTGAGATTGTTCTAAAAATGATATATTTACCTGAGGGCAATTTAGCTCTCCAGAGGGATAGGCACAAGAACCTTGACATGTTACGTATAAAGCATTAGGAGAGTACATTTCATTAGTTCCTGTGCAGATTGCTGATGAAAATGGTGGAACCTGAGTTGTTGTCGTCGTTGTTGTTGTCGTTGTTGTCGTTGTTGTCGTTGACTCAGTTGAAACTGTTGAAGTAGTTGAATCAGTTGAGACTGTTGTATCTGTTGCTGTTAAAAAAGAAATAATTACAAATCTAAAATTACTTTTACTTAGTAATATGTAAATAAAAAGAAGAGGAATAATATTTAAAGGAACTAATTTAATTTAAAAAAAATTAGCATACTGGTTACAGGACAATTTTTCAGTAAAATACAAGTGTTAGCTGCTACATTTCTAAGATATTGGGATTTAGAAATGCAATTATCAACATTTGGCTGGAAAAAAGACATAAGTAAAATATTTAGGTATAGAAAATTATAAGCAGCATGATATAGATAAGGCTCTTCTTCTGTTACTTCTGTACATGGTGTAATTCATTTGGTCTATTTAAAAAAAAGTATTTTTGTTAATCCTTTTAAAGAAACTTATTTTCTTAGCCCGAAAATGTTTAAAAATTAATTCAACTAAATGTGAAACCAAATTTTTTACGCCATTAAATTTCTTTAGCCGATTCAAAATGGTTTTAGTAGCAAAAAGTAATAAAAAAATCTATTAACTTCACAGAAAATTGATTTAAAAAGTTATACATATTTCAAAATGTATTTAAATAATACATTTAATTGTTGATAAAAATAAAAGTAAGTAACATAAAAAAAATCCTACGTGTGTCGATAGCTGTTGATGTATAGAAAATAACAACATTTTCGTTTTTTCCAGATCAAAAATTAAGAACGTTAGTTGTCTGGCCATGGAATCCTGAAACGAGACGCTTTCCAATAAAATGCTGCACAGCCACCATTTTTTAATAAAATTTAAAAAATATATATTTATTTTGCACATCCATACTCATGTAATACTCATGAAATGGTCAATCAAAAATCTGTAGAGTATGTTTTAATACGTATTTTACAGATTTTTGATTGACCATTTCATTTAGAAAATCATAAATTCTCAAAAATATGATAAAAACGATGGTTGACACTTTTCATTTACTCTATTCTCTAGACTTGTACATGTTTGTGAATTTAAAATTCCTACGCGAAGTAAAAACGAAAAGAATTTTTTTCTCTATTAAACTAGACATTTTTTATATTATTCCTCTTATGCGTTAATATATTAAAAAATTGAAAAATCAATTTACCTATGAATGTTAAAAATTGGAAAAAGAAAAGAAAATAAATTATAATAGACATCTCGATTTTTCTTAAAATGGATAAACTCTTTAAGAAATGTGTTAATTTTAATATTAATAAACTAGAATTTTTTATTTGTATTTCACAAAAACTTTTGTAAAGCTGCTTAAATTTTCTTTGCTGAAATCATACTGAAATGATTGCAAAAATGAATAAAAGGCAGAAAATCCTTAGATAATCATTAAGAATTGTAAATGCAAGTTCACGTATAACCACTTTTTACAAATAGATATTGAAAAATAACAATTATACAAAAATATTCTTTACAATAACCAATAAAAAAAGATGTTTTCCTCTTAAGTATAATTTTTTAGAATTTTAATTTTCTTCAAGTTTTCTTATTTTATTGCTTACTTAATTAATAAAGATTGTGTACAGCTTCATTTATATACCAATTAAAAGAAATAACTGGCAAAAAAGTTTACTAAATAGAATCAATAATTTATGTACCAAAAATAAAATAAATAAAATAAGTAAATCTTGAAGTGAAGGAGTCAACACTTATATTTGACTAGTCGAGCGAGATTATTTTTCATTCATAATGAAAAAAAAATAAGTAAAACGAATATTTACGTATTATAAGTCTGAACTTCATAATTCAAAATGGAGGATCCAATATGGCTGCCAACTTTTAAAATACTTGTCTGATTCGCTTGAAACTTGTCACTCGGGGATTTTCGAGAATGTTGATTACGAATTCGTTTTCAATTTTTCTAAATTCAAAGTGGCGGATCCAAAATGGCGTAGTATTTTTGGAAAAAACTTAACAAATTTGATTAAAATTTGTTATTAGAGGATTCTCCAGGTGGCTAATTACGGACCTGGTGTTAATTTTTCAAAATTTTAAATAAATCCAATATGGCGGCCGATTTCTGAAAAAGTCAACAAGTTTGCTGAAAAATATTTTTATTGGAGGGTTTTTGACGTGGCATATTATGAATCTGGTATGTTAATTTTTTATAACAAATATTAGTGTTTAAGGGTAGTTGCATGAATTAGAGGTTGTTTTTTGAAATGTTAAATAATTATTTTTGTACAATTTTCAAGTGTCTAGAATGTTATAAATTTTTCATGTAAATAAATAAAGTAAATATTTAGGGGTATTTTTGTAATTTAGAGGTTGTTTTGAGGGGGTTATAAATAGATTATTATTCATATTATTCACAGCAATAAAATAATATTTATAAATCATTTATTCACTTTGGAGTTAGCAGAATCTTTAAATATTTTTTAACCCTTTTGAACAAAATTTAAGGATGGTTTATAAGGGGTTAATCATTTTCATTATTAATATTATGTGCAAGATTTTTTTTCTATACGTTAAAGTGAAATAAAAAATTTTCTCCAATAAGTACTGCTCTTTATACTCCTAGGAGTTGTTTTTTGAAATAAGGGTAGTTTTAGGGGGTAGAAAGTGATAATAATTTTGGTTTTTTTATTCTAGACCCTTAATTGATTAAAACCAATAACAGTTCTGTTTAATGAACTTCGAGAAAAAAAATTTAAAAGAATATTTTAAATGTGTTTTCACATTTCGACCTAATGTCCTAATTCTAATAGTTGGTTTGTCTAGTTATTATTAGTATGCCCACAGGTATTAATAGGTTAATGGCTAAAACCTTTCATTGATTTACAAAAGTGAATAAAAAAGTAAAGAGTAATTACTGAATTTCTTCACAATTCTCAAAATAATCTTGAAATGATTCTCTTTCTAAAACAGCTTCAAAAAAGGGGGAACATATATATAATCCTGAAATGAATGATTCTCTGTCAGCAGGATAGTGTAATTTTAAGATTTGTCGATTGGTATCGAGATCCAAAATATATCTTAAAAAGACACACCTGTTGTAGAACAGTAAAGGCAGGATTGAAGATCGTAGTAATGTTATAGGTTTGCATTAGTTCCGAGTGAATTTCCATGTAAACGCCATGAGTTAGAACATGGGGCAGGACGACAGTATAGATTGTCACAGACAAAGGTTAATTTGGTACGAGGTGTAATCCCTCCCATCCGTCAGATACCTCTAGAGACCCTGCTCGATGGATTTACGTCAAGATTAGTGACATATTCCGTTAAGGATTATATTGAGTGCGAAAAATTCATCGACAAATTCTTTTCAATCATGCGGAATTTTAATGAAGTTGCTTTCATATTTACAATACGTATTATTCGCTAACACATTGGAGTTGAATCAGACGACATGTTGGGGCAAACTCGGCGCTCGATTTCCTGCAATAATATACGTGCACTATCATCCAAAGCGAGAACAGACATAAAAACTGCTGTGTCATAAAAGTAAATTGACACTTCTGAAAAAATTAATTCTGTTAATGACTTCGATACATTACAATTTTCACATTTAGTATAGACTAGAAGCTGAACTTTAGCTGAATCAGATTTCTTCCTATTTGTTTGTATTTTCGTATCACCAACTAATGTAAAAATTCTCTCAGCAACCACAAAGAGACCCTATAGATAGGATTTTTAGTGTATATAAATATTAAATTACCCAAACGGAAATTAACAATTTACGCGGCACTATTCCGAGTGGTTTTACTGACAGACGCGAGATTTCCAAAATCCGGGTTGGAAATGAAAGTATTGGTAAAAAATGGTAAACTATGGGTAAAGGATGTTGAAATATGGCACTGAATTTAATAAAGTATGTCAAAGTGTTGCAAATGAGCTAAAATTCCATAAATTTTTCGAATTTAAAAAAAATTATTTACTGTTCCTAAATTATGGCAAGAACAATTCCAATAATTATCTGAGTCATCAAAATTAATTTAATTCACAATTCCTAAAAAGTAACCATTGCCGATAATCAGCAGAAAATGAAAAATTATTTTTTGAGCGAACTTTATCTTATGTTTACCAGCAATTGTTAGACAAACAATTTTTTAACTGGTCCCATACTATTGCTAAAATAATTCTAATCTATATCTGGATCATTGAAATTAATTTAATTCACAATTCATAAAAATCAATCAAAATTAATTCATCAATCAATTAATTAATTAATCAAAATTAATTCATCAATTAATTAATTCATCAAAATTAATTTAATTCACAATTCATAAAAATTAACCACAGCCGATAATCAGCAAAAAATACAAAAACTATTTTTTATTTTTATTTTAATTCTTTTAAACATTCAGTTTCCAGAACATCCATAACAATATCTGAGACTAAAGCTGAGATTGGAGAACCCATCGGTGTACCGTAAATTTGTCTGCAGAATTTTCCATCAAACGAAAAATAAATGTTGTTAAATACATTAAAATCAATAATATCATAAAAAAGAATTTTACATTCCTGGTTTATAAGGTTAATACGTCGATCTAAACTCTGAATGACCAATTCACAATAGACACATTTGTAAACATAGAACTTACGTCAAGTGATATAAAAGTATAACTATCGTCCATACTAACATTGTTTAATTTGTTTTTAAGTTACAAACTATTGTTAATGTGTGACCGAAGTAAAGTAATATAATTTTTAAAGAATTATACAGTATTATACATGTAAAAAATGTACGATCATAAAATAAATTTTATATTGTATTTATTGGAAATGTGAAAATGCAGAAAAAAATGTTGAGAAAAAGTTTTTATTCGCAGGCTGGAAGAAGAGAAAGATGTTTTTCAGATACAAATTGGAATTGCTCGTTTAGCTCGTTCGGAGCCAACTTGATAGAAGGGCAAAGTCGACGAGAGAGCCGAGCCGCGCGGGGGCGTGTATCTCGTATAAGGATACATCGTAGTAGGGTGTGAAAATCAATTTGATAGACGAGCGAATGCGTGCCGAATTACCTCTACGTGACGTCCGCCTGTTTCGCCATTTTCCTATTATTAACAACGAGACAGCGAACAACGTCCCACTTGTGTGCTTTACGGATGCACACATGTATTTCGTAACACCACCTAAACGATAGTACAATGAATACACGAACTCGTCGTTGTGATCCCAAGCACGTTCTAGCTTTGCTCGAACAATTCAAAGAGGCTATTCCTCGCAATTAAACACCTCGAGACTCCATCACTGCCGAGAATTTCAAACTCGCGATTTCACGTACCTTTTATACGTGGTACAACAGTTGAACCATTTTACTGCCAAAAAGCATAGCGTTATTAGAAATATTAATAAATATAAATAAAATTTATAAATATATGTATTTTCAATTACAATTTGTTCACAGAGAGAGGAAATCTTCAAAGTATAAAAAAATTAACAAATTTTTGAAATGCATTATTCAAAATTTTAGTAGATATATACGAGTTTATTGAAAAACTAAGAATCCAGAAAAATGCCGAGTAACAAATTTTGAGCAAATCATAGAAATTTTAAATTTCTTTGTCCATTAAGCTTCTGTCTTCTACTGAAACTAAATCTTTTTAGTTTTTATACGTTTCTGAATTTTTTGACCTGAAAAATTCCAATTCAAATTCTACGAAGAAATGACATATTATGGAAATTGATATATTAAAATAGAAACTATCCCACGCATTGAGAATAATTTTTACGGTTCTTCATAATGCGACTAACGAAAATTATGTTTATTTGAAAGAATAGAATAATTACTTCCTCTTGAAAGCATAATTGTAATAAGAAACGGGACGTAAAAAGAACACGAAACTTATTACACTACTGCTTTTTCATTAAAATGGTGGCGTCTTCCCCTGACTCCCCTTACCGTTGATCACCAATCTTCAGTAAACAACCGCAAAGGATATAGAGATGCAAGCATTAGAGGAACTAGTGTATTCGTTAATTTTCGAAAAAATTTCCAAAAATAATGCATTTATTACCACACTGCAAAAAATTTGGCATTGCTGCCATCATGGTGGTCGTAATTCTGCACTCCCTTGTTTTTATAGTGCTAGTGCTAGCATCAGCTATACTATTAGAGAAGGCAGCGACACCAAATTTTTTTCAGTGCAGTACCATATTATGAAATATTTCAAAAGCTAAGTGAAAGAAAAGTTGTCTTAAATACTTAATAGGAAATATTTCCATTTTAATGATTTATAAATCACAATCAACGACTTAGATGAGTATAGTGAAATTTTTATTGAATCGTTTAAATAATTTTCATAAAGATTATGAAGAAATTTACTTAC